TCTACATATTGCCAATTCCTTTCGCTGCTTTTTAGCTCCTTCTTAACAAACGACACCACAAAGCTTCTAATTCACTCCCTTGTAATTCCTCGCCTCAACTACTGTAACTCCCTCCTTGGTGACCTACTACTAAACAGGCTATCCTCCCTTCAACTTATCATGAATGCTGCTGGCAGACTCATCCACCTTACCAACCATTCAGTATCCACCGCCTTTCTCTGCCAATCTCTTCACTGGCTCCCAATTGCCCAATTAATAAAATTAAAAATACTAACAACAACATACAAACCCATCTACAACTCTGGCCTCATCTACATCACCAACCTCATTTCAAAATACCACCCAAACTGTCCACTATGGTCCTCTGAAGACCTTTTGCTCTCCAGCTCTATCAACACCTTCTCCCATGCTCACCTTCTCCAGAGTGTCCCCTATTCTTTGGAACCCCTACCCCAATCTGTCCACTTATCTCCTACTCTGTCCACTTTTAAGCGATCCTGGAAAACTCATCTCTTCAGGGAAGCCTATCCCACCTCAACATAACTATCCTTTTACTTCTTCCACTAACTCAACCAACACAACATTTTTACCTTTTGTATAACTTGTCCCTCCGACTAGATTGTAAGCTCTCACGAGCAGGGCCCTCCTAACTCTATTGTACTGAAATTGAATTGTAACTGTACTTTCTCCCTACATTTTGTAAAGCGTTGCGCAAATTGTTGGCGCTATATAAATCCCGTAGAATAATAACAATAATTTGAGGAGCTACTGCCAAGTGATACACAACTTAGGTACATTGTTGTTAATAGGGAAGGTACTTGAATGCACCCCCTGCTAAGTCACTTAGCAGGGGGTGTGTTGAACCTTTGCAAAGAGACCACTGCTTCCACACAGAGAGCAAGAGTCCTTTTCTATAGCATGCTGGCAGGGGACAAGCTTTTCTACTCAGGCTGTGGTTGCATTTTAATGAACTGTAAAACTTTGCACACTTTTTGTTTTGAATGAATATATTTTACTGATTTAAACGAATGGTTCGATTGGACTTAAAATGTGATTAAAATTTGGCTGTCTGATTTTCACAAATTGTCCGGTGCTGATTATTAAAACGCTGCCATAATTATGTCCTTATGAAATTAAGGAGATGGAAGTGAATATTCAGGGAAAACTTCAGGTTCAAAGGATCAATAAATTAAAGTAGAGAGTTAGATTTATGCACAGGTTATATGCAAATCTGGAACTGTCCAGTTTACTACATCAAATAATGGCTTCATACTTTTCCAGGAGGATTCTACTGTAGCCACCATCACCTTGTGTGATGTGGCTACTAGACATTAAGTGATAGCCAGGGCTGTAGTCAGCTTGGCTGGATAATAGTGGCAGTCATATGGTTAATTCCAGGTGTCTAGCATTGCCTGTAGCCCCCTGGATGGAGGGTGACTCTATCATATTGTGGGACAGCCATAGAGAGGCTCTGTAGTGTATGTACAGTACAGCAGCCAATCACTGGGTTTCTCTCAACCAGTGGTGCATGCTGGGATAGGGTACATATACTGGAGGGATTTGCCATGTGCTCAGACTAACCTTGACCAGCCATGGATTAAGGCTGGATGCTGTCCAGCCAACCCCCAGGCTAGGCCTGAGGCCTGGGGGTGAGCATGGGCTGGTGTGAGGGAAATGTTTCCCTGGGGCCACCAACATGGAGGAGGCCTGTGTTGCTGTCAGAGGAAGATACCCAGGACCGAGGATGGTTCTTGAAGTTTCCTGGAACCTAAAGGACGTCAGGAGCACGACCGGTGTCTCTTCTGTTGAGGATCTGTGTTCATCCTTGCTCATCCACTCATTCAAGTGGATCCACACTGATGTGATAACCAGGTCTGGTGAGTCTGGAACTTGTGTCTGTTACACCCTGGAAGCTTAGAATCCCTATACCCTCTCTCCCCAGTGAAGATGTTCAATAAATGTTATTCAGCATTATACTACTGGAGTGGACATCAGCTTTTGTGGGCACTAGAAGAAGGGTGGTTAATGCTAGTGGGTGGGCAGCTGAAGATCATACCCTAGGCAGACTAGAGATGAATCGGGCATATTCCTGTGGCTCCTTCTGGAGTAGCGCTACACTACCTAATGTAAAAAAAATGAATAACCAGCAAAGATGATCTTTATGACCCTGGGGAGACATAAAGGACACAAACTACTACTGCAGAGTCTTGCAACTGGAAACTCTATGAGTTATTAAAAAGAGGATGATTCAGCTGAGAAGATCCAACCAAAAACTGAAACGTTTTGGGTGGAGCTGACCTCTAAATGCCACCATTATTTCAATGTCTTTTCACTTTATTTATCCTTTAATGCAGATATGGACACAAAACACCCATATTTCCTCATATGCTACATGTGAGCTGGCATTCCAAGCTGCAGAACAAACCTCAGTATAAGTGAGATGGTGCAATGGGTTTCAAGTAGAACGCTTATAATTATAATCTCTATGAATGAACTTAAACACTGATACTTTGACTTCACAGCAATACATTTCTTAGTCAAGTATCAGGAATATGAGGGAACTGGTGTGCAGGAGCATTAAGACGGTAAAATGCAATGTAGCTGCACACATTGGGGTTGATTTACTAAACGCAAATAGGCTGTTCACTCTGCAAGGGATGTTCCCTTAACTTGCAAAGAATACCCAATTACCTGCAAGAAAAATGAACATGCTCAAACCCTGTAGGCATAGGCATGCGCAGCCTATTGCATTACAGTGTGTATGCAAAAGTACAAACACAGACACACACACACACACATTGATATACACACATACATAGACCCAAGGCATCCCAAATTCGCTACATGTCAATTTATTTTCTGAATATACAGAAGAAACAGCCAGGAGAGAGAGCGAGGAGAGAGACAGCCAGGAGAGAGAGAGAGGAGAGACACAGCCAGGAGAAACAGAGGAGGGAGACAGCCATGAGAGACAGTTAGGAGAGAGAGAGTGAGGAGAGAGAGAGCAAGAAGAGCCACAGCCATGAGTGAGAGCGAGGAGATAGAGTGAGGAGAGAGAGTGAGGAGAGAGAGCGAGGAGAGAGAGCCAGGGAAGAGAGTGAGAAGAGAGTGCAGTCAGGAGAGAGAGCGAAGAGAGACAGCCAGAAGAGAGTGAGGAGAGATAGCCAGGAGAGAGTGAGAAAAGACAGCCAGGGGAGAGAGTGAGAAGAGACAGCCAGGGGAGATAGCGAGAAGAGAGACAGCCGGGAGAGAGTACGAGGAGACAGCTGGGAGAGAGTACGAGGAGACAGCCAGCAGAGAGAGCAAGGAGAGAGAGCCAGAAGAGCAAGGGGAGACAGCCAGAAGAGAGAGTGAGGAGAGACAGCCAGAAGAGAGAGAGGAAAGACAGCCAGGAGGTAGAGAGAGGAGAGCGACCACCAGGAGAGAGGAGAGAGACAGCCAAGAGAGAGAGCAAAGAGAGAGACAGCCAGGGGAGAGAGGGAGGAGAGAGACAGCTAGGAGAGAGAGCAAGGAGAGAGAAAGCCAGGAGAGAGAGCAAGGAGAGAGATAGCCAGGAGAGAGAGTGAGGAAAGAGACATCCACGGGAGAGCGAAAGAGGAGAGAGACAGCCAAGAGAAAGTGAGGAGAGAGAGCGAGGAGAAGGAGCGAGCAGAGAGACAGCCAGGAGAGAGCGAGGAAAGAGGCATCCAGGACAGAGAGCGAGGAGAGAGGCAGCCAAAAGAGAGTGAGGAGAGAGGCAGCCAAGAGAGAGTGAGGAGAGAGAGTGAGGAGAGAGAGTGAGGAGAGAGAGCAAGGAGAGAGAGCAAGGAGAGAGACAGCCAGGAGAGAGAGCAAGGAGAGAGAGCAAGGAGAGAGACAGCTAGGAGAAAGAGCGAGGAGAGAGACAGCCAGGAGGGAGCGAGGAGAGAGACAGCCAGGAGAGAGAGCGAGGAGAGACAGCCAGGAGAGAGAGTGAGGAGAGACAGCCAGGAGAGAGAGCGAGGAGAGACAGCCAAGAGAAAGATTGAGGAGAGACAGCCAGGGGAGAGCAAAGAAAGACAGTCACGAGAGAGAGAGAAGATCGAGGAGAGAGAGGAGAGATAGTCTGACCACAGACATCCCCCTCCCTCGCCACAGCCTCAGCACAGACACACACCCTCCCCCGACACTGCCTTACCACAGACACCCCCTCCCCGCCATAGCCTGACCAAAGACAGCCCTTCCCCCAGCTGACCACACTCCACAAGCTGACCAGACACCCCCTCACCACAGCCTGACTACACATACACTTCCCTGCCATAGACTAACCAACGCCCCATTCCCTACCACATTGTGACCACGGACACCCCCTCCCCGCCTTAGCCTGACCACAGACACCCCTTCCCCCACAATCTGCAAGCTGACCAGACACCCCCTCACCACAGCCTGACCACACATACACTTCCCTGCCATAGACTAACCATTGAACCATTGTCCACCTCCCTACCACAGGGTGACCACAGACAACCCCTCCCTACCACAGGGTGACCACAGACACCCCCTCCCTACCACATTGTGACCACAGACACCCTCTCCTACCACAGGGTGACCACAGACACCACAATGCCAGCCTGAAAATGAAAGAGAGAAGCTGATTGGTTGCTGTGCACAGCTGCTCCAGATTTTGTCTGCTCCAGTTTTGATAAATTACCTTCTATGTGTTTTGTAGCATGTGCGACAATGCTCAACATAAAGAATTCTATTATTTTTAGTGGTGTCTGTTCACATTCGAACATTGGATCACTTGTTGCTGGGCAAAGTACATGAGCTTTTTTCAGGCAGAATCGTGCGTTTTTGGCTCTATAGACTTCAAGGGGAGTGTGATTTCATGTCTAACAGGTCTTCTCCTTCTGGTAACTACCTTTTCATTGGGTAAAATAAAAATGCTCAAGCCCAAGGAGCACACCAAAATAAGAGCAAAAACGCTTATGCTCCAGGGCTACTGTGGCTATCTACATTAGTTTGCCCATCAGAATACTTACTGGCCACCACACCATGCTACGTCCAGCCAGGAAGAAGCCTCCTACAGTGCCACGGCTTGTCCTTACCATAGCCTGTAATATAAAATCAGAGTTTTAGTGGTTTTAGGATGTTAACCACCTAGTTTATCATTTATACAGTAAGTAGTATCACATATATCTAGATTTAACTAGAAATTCGACTAGAATTTCATAGGGGCATATTTATTATATAATTTATTTATTATATAATTGGTGTAAAAGTCCCTTCAGGACATGCGCTATGATAATAAAGTACATATGCCATTTGTTTATCAGATCATGTAGCACGCATTTGGATTTCCTGTGCTTTAAAGTTGCCTGATGTGTCTTTTGACTTTGACAATCACATAATGATCTGTTATTGATTTCTATGGAGGACCGGTTACATTCTATCCTACTTCTTCCTCTTCACACACATATGCTGGACATCCAACAACCTAGACATGCCCTCTCCGCCATTCACCAAAGGCAGGCATATATAGGTAGCTGTATCAGGCAGGTGAATGTGCATAGATTTGCCTGCTGGGTTTAAATTAATCACAAAGTGTGTTTCTCTGTAGATTTCTACTATATAGTATATATTCTTTCTATTTGCCTGATATAAAAAAAGACAACTAGACCAAAAAGGCTGCTTGAATTTCTGCAGATTGTGTGGACCTTTCAGTATAGGGACCATTTGTAAATCATATGGTTTAAAGGCAAAATCCACCTTTTAGAAAAAAATAATAAATGCACAATACTTTGAAAGTATTTTATTGCATTGGAGCCAATAAAGTATTGCAAAGGCGATCAGTGGATGGCGGGTGCTCAGGATCCTGCAGATTCTCCCTCCCGTCCGTGGCCGTACCTTGGTACGGACATTCAGTAACATGAACGGGTGGAAGAACGAATGGACCACAAGTGCGTCGACATCACTTCAAAAAACAACACCAGCCTGCAGGGAGAACAACCCAGCAATTCAGGTAAGTAGGGGGGATGCGGAGTGGTGGGGGGGATGTTGGGGTGGTGATGTGACCATGTTTGATGTTACACCCTGAATATGGGTGTAATATGAAACATAGTCAGAAAAGTAAACTTAGCCTTTAAATTTTCATTTAGGCTCCATTCACATTTCTGCGATGTGGGAACGTGTGTGTTCCTGCACGCGATTCCGCATCACCCAAGATTGCATGTTACACTTTCAGCTGCCCTGCAGCGTCATAATTGTTTAGTACCTAACCATCACATTTACGTTGCACTGCCCCACCAAGCATGGTAACTTATTGCAATGAGTTGTGGTACGATGCAATTGTAAAAAAGGGTCATGCGCTTCTTTAAAGTGTTACTAAATTTAGGAGTTTAATTTTAAAAATTCAAGTACCCCAACTATTAACAAAAATGTATCTTATTTGTGTATCACTCAGCTGTAGGTCCTCAAATCATCTCTGAAATGGGGCTGACACTGTCCTTCCTTCCGGAGGGTGGATACTTATGTTCCCCATGGTCCCTGTGTGTGTTATAAAGTTCGATCGCTCCAATCTCGCTCCTGTAATGGACTACAGTCTCACGTTTAGTTTACTAATTTGTAGTGAGATTGTAGTCCATTATGGGAGCAATCTTGGAGCGGTGACTACTTTACAACACACACAGGGACCATGGGGAACAAAGGTAGCCACCCTCCAGAAGGAAGGACAGTGTCAGCACCAATTCAGAAATGATTTGATGACCTACAGCTGAGTGATGTACAGGTAAGGTACATTTTTGTTAATAGTAGAGGTACTTGAATGCATTTTTAAGATTTAACTCCTGAGTTTAGTGTGTCAGCTCTTTTCTGTGATTTTGATGTGGTAGGCACCCCATTCAAATAAATGGGCTACCCTACAGAAATCACCCTGCAGCGCACCTGCGATGTCACATGGTGGATATGTGAACAGAGTCTTATTGTCTTAAATATTCTGTATATTAATATAGTTGGAATGATTTTCTCACTATGTGCTTCCTCATTCTTTTTGTACGTTATAACATCAAGTCGAAGCCATGAATCAATACATAAACTGCTCTTTTCTATGTAGGTCCAGTACCTAATTTATGTGCTGTGATCATTTCCTTTAGTATAATAAATGGACAAATTATGAACATTTTAAAAACTTGCTAAAAGTATGATAGTTTTATATGTAGCCAGAATGACAGCATTTCATTGAGGAAAAAGTTGTGACTTTGTATTGCTAAGATTGCATCATACATATGGTGTAAACAGTCAAGATATTTTCCATGGTGGCTGCCAAAGCTATTTTATATCAGACAATTCATTTTGCTATGGATATAGTGCCCCTTTCACATTAAAGATTTAAATCAACATAATGAACAATATAGATAAATACAGTTTTGACACCAATTAAATAATAGGCTCAATTCACTAAGCTATAATGATCATGGTTGGGCAAAACATTCTTTATTTGCAGAAAGAGTCTAATATCTCTATGGAGGTATTCTGGCGTATTGATTAAGACAGTGCAAAGAACAGTGATCTGTATTACTGGTAGCCCAAACAATATCCATTTTACATTTCAGTGGTTCAGCCTAGTGGAGATACTGAAGTAGATTTGCTGGCTGCTATAGGTTTCTGTGATTTTTCTATTAGTGTACATAAAAGTCACTTCTGCAGGGACTGATCACAGAGCAAGTTTAGTCCTGCATGTTACATCTATGGATATTCTGGAAGTGAAAAATTATTTAGAGAATGGTAGGGTCTATTTATATATATATGTATAGATATATATACGTATATATATTATTTAAAGGCTTAATTGCAGCATATATTGTGTATGTCTATTCTATTCTTTTCATGACATGGATCTGACAGTATTAATACCCATAAACATGCTCAGTATCAATCCCCAAACTAATACAGCACTTACCCATATTCCCACAGCCAGTACCACTACAAAATAGATGACAATGACGGAGATATCAGCTGGGTTATTAATAGGAATGGTGTCCTTAGAGGGAGCAGAGGTACTAGTTGGTGTGATATCCATCTTGTCTTCTCCAGTCCGAGAAAGACTGTACTCATGTGTCAATCGGTCCCTCTGTCTCTTCTCTCAGGTGTATGACTTGGATATAGGGTTAATAATAAACCCAACCCACAGAGGTTCACCGCCCCTTACCTTGCCATCAATGCATAACCTGCCCCTGATTTACTTTCCCAAACTCAGACAGCTTATCAGTGTCACAACCATCATCTGTACTTCGACATTCCATGATAAGTCTGTCAGAGATGAGGAGTTACCTGGGCTAAGCTAAGAAGGATTGTTTGTAATCAGAAAAGAAAAAGAAAAGTGGGTGTGTGCCAGGTGATGCCAACATAGCAATGCCACTTTTGTGTCTTACAAGCTTAACTGTCTTGCAGGGACAAGAACTAAGTCACACAGACAGTGTTCACCGAAATGTGAGCATGCACGTATTAACATAATCACACAGGTGTGACATCCGTCACTGTTGTTCTAGGCATAGATTCAATAGCCTTAACCATTGCGTATTTTATTATAAGGTTACATGAAAGCAGATTTTGATGGAACTTTCAGTTTTATTTGATTGCTGTTTTCTGTTTTGTTTTTTGATTATATAATAAAAGTAGTATTAAACTTTCAAACAAATATACAAAAAGGGGAATTTATAAAAACTGGAGCAGACAAAATCTGGAGCAGCTTTTTTGTTTAGTTTGTTCAGTTGAGATTTGAAAATGAAAGAGAGATGCTGATAGCTGTGCATAGCAACCAGTTCCACATTTTGTCTGCTCCAGTTTTGATAAATTCCCCTCATCGTATTTCTATACATTTTTGCCTGACGCATCAACATTCATCAGGTTTCCAAACAGAAGGATTCAACTCTCCCAGCTCCACTTCCCTGAACTTCCTGTCCAGTACAAGATAACAAGGAACACAGCAGTCTCCAGCAGTTGTCCATCTACTAGACTGGAGAAGGGGGAGCAGGGAGGAGGCAAGTGGTGTGCCTTGCTGTGTCTGTGTGTTTGTGGAGACACACACAGCTTACTAGCACACAAAAGGGTGGATCCTTAGGACACTGCAAGGGAAAGGAGCCTTCCTAAAACAGATGCATATGAGGGCCAGTCAGTGCTCAGAGGACCAGCTGATTCTGCAGGAATCTAAAAGTTTGAAACATCAAAAAGCAGCATCAATTGTATGTAATTTCATCAGCATTTGAAATAGCTTAAAACCGTTTTGACTTTAATATCACTTGAAATGTAAAGCAGATCATCCCTCTAGTGGCAGTCTCTCTACCAGCGAGACTGCTAGATACCGAGACCAAATTTAGCAGCTTCATTGGTTAACCTGACAATAACTCTATAGCTAATTTGCACACTTAAAAAATGTTTACATTATTTCTAAAACCTTTTAACCGCCTCCTGGCCAGCCGTTGTAAAAATACGGCCAGTCGGGGGCTTCCTAGATCTGAGCGGGCGTATTTAAATGTCACGGCAGCCACGCCCACTCGCGCAATCGAGAAACTGCCTACATTTAAAAACAGACATCGATTTCTGTTTGCATACAAGCGATCCACCGGCTATAGAGCCTTGTGTGTCATTTCCCCCCCATCCGCAGCCCTCCCTCCCACTGTCCCGCGCTCCGCTGTGCCAGCATGGTGGCTCTGTGACGGGGATCAGAGGGAGATCGGTACGCAATCTCCCTCCAGTCCCCTCTCCGGTGTCAGAATGCGGAAGTGATGTGTATTGCATCACTTCCGCATTCTTGTGTCACTCCCCAGCTTCAGAAGCTGGAGAGAAGCTGATGAAGCACATCTGTGTTTCATCTGCTTCTTTGGGGGTCCCTAGGTGACATTAGCGGTCTTGGAGACCCCTGATGTCTCCATAAAGAGGACCTGTCACATCTCTTTGCTATCACTTAGGGGGGTTTCATAACCCCCTATGTGATAGCAATAAAGTTAGGTGAAAAATAAAAATAGGAAAAAAAAATTAAAGTTGCAAAAAAAACTTTAAATTAAAGTCACACATGAAAAAGAATTTAAAAAAACCACAAAAATGTTTTAAAGTCCCCACCCATACATACACGCATGCAAACATGCGTCAGGTGCGCATACGTGCGAAAACAACGATTGGGCCTATTACACATTTTTATAGAGTGCATTGTGACAACTGCAGTCTGTCGGCTTCATGTGTCAATTGTACCTCTTTCTGTGCGAGACAGGCTGACATCTGGAGCTGCCAGGTTTGCTTGCAAACAAATCCTTGTGATCACCATATTAGGAACATTATAGCACAATGATCAGACTGGACTGGTGTAGTTTTGACCTGAGTTTAACCTCTTTACTTGGCATAGCTGGCAAGGTTTAGCCAATATTTGACAATATTGATGGGATTATCAATTGCACAATATTTCAGTTCCTTGTATGTTGTACTCGGAGGGAATAGATCGTATAAGACTCAGAAATTAAAATGCTTCCTTCTTCACATGAATATAGGATCGGTGTCATGCTAGTCATGGACATAGATGGTTGGGAAACAAACAGAAAGGACTTCCTGCACACAGAGGGTTGGAATACTAAAGTTAAGAGAACATTGTGGAATATGCTGAATTGTAGATTTGGACTCCAAATTATTATCACAGCAATTAGCACGAGTATGCACTTTGGAATGTAAGACATTTTATAGAGGGAAATTATTGATAAGCAAATGCGTAAAAGACATGGGAACAATAAACTGTGACATTTGCAGATTCTTAAGAAAATCTCAGTAATACTGCAGGTTTTTGAGAAAGATATTTTTGTGTTGTGATGGAAATGTGGTTTTATTTTATATAGTTAACAACTTCCTGCAAGCTTCACACGCATATGTGGCGGCAAGAAGGTGGGCCACCGTACATATGAATCCACTGTTCTGTGCAGGAAGCGCGCTCACTGCGCGCTCCCCGCACAGTGACCGAGCTGTCACCAACAGTTCTTGGTCATTGTTTACAATCAGGAGCCATGGACGGGCTCCCGATCATGTGATTACTGTGATTGGCTGTCACAGCAATCGCATGATTGGGAGCCCACCCCCACTTTTCATTACTTTTAAAGGGCTAGGGGCAAAGAGTCAGTGGTGAACCTAGACATTCTGTCACCGGGGGCAAAGGCTCAGAGTTGCCCCCCCCCCCCCACCCGGGAGCAGTGCTCCATCCAAGAAAGTATCGGTGCATCCCTACTAAAAATAGTATAAATGCTCATAGTGTATAAGTAATAGGTATAAGGTAATGTCACTGTAATATGTAATACATGCTGCTGTCTTTTCACTCTTCGTTATAGGCAGGAGATTGGAGGACTTGACCAGCTGCTGTAGGATATCAGTGATAGTAATGTGTTTTATAGGATAGGAATCTATAATCTATATGAATAGGATGAGCTAGACTACTTAGAAAGAAGTAGGGCTCTGCTTAAAATATTTACTGTGGTAATGATTAATTGTCAGAATACCAGTCACAAGATGGCTCATGGCCCAGTGACAGCCTCTAGTTTGATACTGTACAACTATTGATGTAACGTGTCATTTGACAATACTTTGTTAAAATATTTAAGCTTTCTCTTGCTTCCTTTTTCCCATCCAATGTTTACTGAGACATCCTCTCTCAGGATGAGAGTCCATATGTCACGTACCTTATGGAGCTTGTGATGACGAGGGCGGCCTCTCTTGCAACTCTGGTCCCAGGAGGCCTGAGTATGGATACAGGTAACCTGGGGCACAGCGGGGCACTAGTGCCGGAAGATGATTTAGATACTGGACGTAAGTCCTGTAGCTGCTCTGCTGGGCAATTGTATATAAACACACAGCAGAGAGGCATGCAGAGAAGAGTCTAAGTCAGGCAAACTGGGTCAGCAACGTGCAGGCAAGAATGTACCGAATCAGGAGATGAAGTCTTAGTCGAAGGGTAGGCCAGGATCAGCAACATGCAGACAACGCAGGACCAGACAGGAGGCAGAAGAATAGTCAAACGAGCCAGAGTCAGGATACCAGAGCATCAGCAGGGTCAGGAACAAGGCTGGTTCAACGACAGGAAGGCAACAAACAGGGTACAGGTTCTGGAAACAAGGCACACAGCTGAAGAGTACTCAGCACTGGAGGCATGGAGAGGCTGGGGTTAAATAGCCCGTTTGGCGCCACAATATGTCGGAGGTGTGCACGCGCACACACATGCGCAGAGGTGAACGGCCCGACTTGGCACTGTGGGCCATGCAGTGGGCATGCGCAATTACCTTTGTACGGGCTTCCTGACACCATATTTGATAATGCTCCAGACTCCGGGACATAATCTTTTAATGGGGGGATGAATGTAGCCCCTACCACCTTTAGTGGAGTGGCTACTAGAACTTTAGTGATTGCCAGAGCTCTAGTCAGTCTGGCTGAATTACAGTTGGCATTTATATTGTTAATTCCAGGTGCTCTAGCATTGATTGTACTTGCCTGAGTGGAGTGTGACTCCTGCTGCTGCAGTGTGAGACAACCAATGGGGGGGACTGTGAGCGTGTTTGCAGTCCACCAGCCAAACACTCAGGCACTCATGGCTGGGACAGGGCATATATGCTCGAGCGAATTGCCATGGATTAGTGCAGGTTGGGGTGCTGTCCAGCCTTCCCCCAGGCAGGTGGGGGTGGGAATACTAGAGGGTGGAAAATGCTCTGGTTGGCCTCAAGTCTGGAGGAGGCCTTTGCTGTTAACTGAGGAGGAGAACAAGGGAAGTGAATGGCTGCTGGAGTTGCCTTGAATATAGTGGGCCTCAGGAGCAAGTCTGGTGTCTCTCCTACTGAAGATCCTGTGTCAATCCCGCTCATCTGTTGCTCTATTATCCAACTAGGGGTTCCTATTGAATCTACACAGAAATACTAAAAGGGACTGGTGAGTCTGGAGTCCGTATCTGTTCTGCCCTGGATGTCTAGGCCCCTATAGCCTCTCTCCCTGTTTGAATATGTTAATAAAGTTCTTCAATTTCATACTCCTGGCCTGGATTTCAGCTCTATTGGTCACTAGAAGAGGGCAATTAATGCTAATGGGGCAGCTGGTTGCTAAAAATCCCTAGACAGGCTATTGATGACCCGGGTTATTCCAGTGCCTCCTTCGGGGGTGAGCACTACACATGCTATTGTTGAGTCTGCGGTCTATAAGGACCCCCAGATCATTATCCATCCCTGACTTCCCCAAAGGAGCACATCCTAGATATTAAATTGCATGCATGTTCCTAGCTCCCAAGTGCATACCATTGCCTTTTTCAATATTGAATTGCACCTCATCAATTTTATCTAGGTCTTGCTGCAGTGATTTTATGTCTTATTTTGAAGTTATTACCCTACATAGCTTGGTATCCTCAGAAAACACTGAGAATGAGCTATTCATTCCAACCTCTATATCATCCATGAATAGGATATACAGAATTGGTCCCGGGACCGAACCCGAAGACACTCTACTTGACCATTTAGAAAAAGAGCCATTTATTACTACCCTCTGGATTCCTTCCTGTAGCCAGCTTTCCACCCATGTACATACAATTTCATCAATACTGATAGATCTTAATTTGTACATTAGACATTTTTGGGGTACTGTATCAAATGCTTTAGCAAAGTCTAGATACACCATGTCTACAGGTCTTAATTTCTACTCACATCCTCATAGAATGTTAATAGGTTGGTTTGACAAGAACGGTCCTTCATAAATCCATGTTGAATTTTACCTTTTAATACCATAGTCATAGGGAACTTTTTGTATATATCCCCATACCACCCCCTCAAAAATTTTGTATGCAATTTATGGTAAGTTAACTGGCCTATAGCTACCAGGTATACCTTTGATCCATTTTATGAAAATCGGTACCACATTCGCTTTCCACCAATCAGTCGGTACCATTCCTGTCATTAAAGTGTCCATAAAGATTAGAAACCATCTGGTCCTGGAGATTTGTTTACATTCATTGTTTCCAGACTCTTTTTCACTCGTCTGTTTTTTCTGTAAAGAATGAAAAGAAGGATGTATTTAACACATCTGCTTTCTCCCTCTCATTGGTAACCAACTTCGCTTGTTCATCTTGTATTGGGCCTACATGTGCTGTCCCTACCCTTTAACTATTTATATATTTGAAGACATTGTTAGGGTTCCTTTTGCTTTGTGTTCTTCCTAGTTTATTTTTGCTTTCCTGATTGCTCTTTTGCATTTTTCTTGCAGTCCCTGTAGTGCCGAAACGCTGATGATGACACCCCGTCTTATATTTTTTAAGGCCCTTTTTTTAAAATATAATACTGTATGTCTTTTTACCTAACTATTTAAATACCCAGGTTTAAATTTTGTTATTTTAAATGTGTTGGTTAATGGAATGCAGTAACGAATGCTGTTCTTTAATATGTCCTTAAAACATTCCCACTTCTCCCCTGTGCTCATTGTCAGGAAGATTTGGTCCCATTTAGTGTTATAAAGTAAATGCTGCAGCTTATTAAAGTTAGCCTCTTACAAATTTAGCGTTCTTGTCATACCAACGTGTCTGTGTTTTAAGGAATTGACCGCAAAGTTTTTTACCCTGTGATCACTATTTCCCAAAGTGTCCCTAATTTCCACATCTGTAATCTCTGTTGTTTGAAATTAATAAATCCAGCAGAACGTTCTTTCTAGTTGGGGCTTCTATCATTTGTTTAATAACATTTTCTTGTGGTAGGTTCATGAAGTGACGGACCTTTTGAAGTGGAGTACGAGTGACTTTTTGACTAGTCACTTCCTTTAACAGCCCCTTAATCACTGGCGGGACTACCAGGGTCGCAGCGGTCGCACTTGCGACCGGGACCTGGTGTTCCGCCAGTTCGGGGGGGCCCAGAGAGAAGAGGATGGCACGCTGGCCGCAGCTGCTTACGCTGCCCAGAAAAATGCGACTGGCCACAAGATGGCCGCGGCGGCTCTGATCACACCTGTCAGCGCTCCCTCTCTCTCCTTCCGGCCGCTGCAGCTTCAGAGCGGCCAGGAGGAGAGAGAGGGAGCGCTGACAGGTGTGATCAGAGCCGCTTCTCTGAGCAGAGGAGCGGCAGGAAGGTCCCCCCCGGCTACCTTTCACGCCGGGTCGAGTCGACAGTGAGAGGAGGGCTGCACTCGTAGCCCTTCCTCTCAGCTGTCACAGGAGTAGAATTCCTGTATTGAGGGTGACAGGTTCAATCACACATGTTTGTAAAATTGTGATGGAATTGATTTCACTTCTGCAATAGCCATATTTGTTTTAGGTCATGCCTCTATATAGACACAGACACACACTTTTATTAAGCAGTCAATCTAACAGTTAGCAAATACTCACTGCAGGTGAATCTTCCAGGTACTGTGTGACAAGACAGTGATTGTTTCACCACCAGTGAATGTTTGGTGAAAGTCACGATCACTACTTTATACATTTTTAGGCAGATAAAAATTATATCTGACAGCGGTTCCAGCCTCCCCTTACTCCAAGCAGAACACAGATATGCTACATTCATTGATACCTGGTCACTGCACTTACAGTCAGTTCTGATATTGCTGCCTTCCCTCTCATCCAACTCCTCTACCCCTGATCACTGCTGCCACCTCTCACAGCTGCAGCACCATTTTTCCCTGCTATCTCCTCTAACATTCTCTCACATTCTGCATCTGACCCCTGGTCACAGCACTTACAAATGTGGTGGATGTGAGCACTGGCGGGGCCGTGTGACTGATCTGCCAGCTGATAGATCACACAGCCAGCAGAAATAAGAGATATTGTGATAAGAGCTGACCTGTCCCTTCCCCCCTTCCCTCTTCCCCCGTGCTAAATGGCCCCTATGTTCTCCAGTGTGCTCCTGCTGCCAGAAACCAGTGCTGTCAATCCGTCCTAACTATGTATTTGTCAATATTAGGGGTACAGTGTAGGCCAGAAATACAAATTTGGGGGTGCTTATTTCAGATGATTGCAAAATGAGCAAACATTGTTGCCTGGCATTGGAAAAAGCAAATAGAATGGTGGGGTACATCATAGAGGGATCCACAGCAGGAGGAAGGAGTTCCCCTATATAGATCTTTAGTTAGAACTCAAGTAGAATACTGTTTCTAGTTCTGGAAACCTCACTTCTAAAAAGATATTGATAAGACAGGATGACTTCAGAGAGTAACAAAAATGGAGAAAGATCTGAGGGATACATTATTTCAGAAGAGACTGGTACAAAACGGAAAGGGGAGGCATGACTCAGACTTTTAAATGCATTAAGGGTATGAATAAGGTTCAAGAGAGCAGTAGTTTGAATATGAAGCTAATAAAACACAGAGACATGACCTCAAACTAGCAGGTGGACAGTTCATAACTAACCTTAGTAAGTATTTTTACGGAAGAGTAGATGATACTTAGAACAGACTTCCCTCAGAAGTATTGTTAGTCAGTAAAAAATAAATTGAAACTTCCTTGAGATAAACATAAATTTATACTCAAACACAATAGATTGACAAAAGGAAAAAAAAATAAAAAAGGGTCAGACACGATGGACCACTTGGTCTTTTTCTGCTATCACTCTTCTATGTTTCTAGGTCTACATGTCAGGGGTAAGTTAATTTTGAATTCCATTGTTTATCGGATATGATGCACAGATCCTTTTCCCATTTATGTTTACATTGAGTGGGGTATTTTAGGAGATATTTAAGTAAAAGGTGAGTATAAAGGTGAGGTATCAACCCAAAAGTAGCTTGTACAACGATATCTAGCAGTTCTGTTGGTGCAAAGGCTAACCATTGGGAAGACCCTGTGTTTGTAAAGCATGTTGGACTTGCAAGTATTAAAAGAATAATGTGATATTAGGCTGGAATTCTTTGGTGCTGGAACAATTTTGAGAATAATGTGATACTGTTAATATACTGGCTTTCTGCCATTGTGAGAAGGGACGAAGCTTGGCTAGCTCCAGGAGGAGCTCATTAAGCCATAGAAGAGTGTATTATGTAAGGCTTTTAACAGTAGTAGGTGCATCGACAGTAGTAGAAGCATCTCCCTCTGCATGTCTCATATTCGGTGCCAGGCCTGCCATGTGTATTCTTACTTGGCGTGCTTTGTCTATTTTTTCCACTACTGTGCAGTAAACCACTGACCAGGTGCTCCCTGTCATAAAGACCGGTCACTGCTGCTCTCCCTCCTTGTAGTTATCTGCAGGCAGCCTGTAGTGGGTAGACCTATTGGGTCCCTCCTACAGCTCTCCCCACATGGGCACTACAGTAATCATGTCATCATTATTTTAATAGTGGTTTGGGCTTGCAACAACAATTGTGCCGACAAAATAGATTTATATCCTTTGTGACTATATGTGAATGAACGTTTTTCTGCCCAGAGTTCACCTTTAACACTAATCCTGCAGGATGAGATTATGGATACTTACAGAAGGCAAAACAAGAACCAGACCTTTAAAACCTTATTATTCAAATTTCCTGCCACACATGTATATACCTTATAAACATACCTAAAAACAAACCGTGTCCTTAAGGGGACGGATTTATTTAATAAAGTCCAAATAAATCTCCAAGCAAATTGTAATTTCCCTGCTAACCCATCATGCACATTTATTTTTATCTTTCCTTGTCAAGAAACATATGCTCTCCTAACTTCATCATCCAGGTCCCTCGCCGTCACTGTTTCTGGGTGCAGGGGACCGCTAACCCAGCCCTGCAGATGTGCCCATACCTGGCAGTCCCTTTGCACTAACATCAGCACTACTGAATTCTTAAAGGAACCGCCAATGGACAGCCAATAGGAAGCGTCCACCTTATGCAGTCAGTGATGTGGGCACAGGAAGAAGGACCCCATCTCCTGTAAGAAAAAGAAGAGAGATGACTCGGGACTGGAGCTTAATGTAACTGTGGCTTTAGGTGGGTAAAAAGGTCAACCCTGCGCCATACCTACTGTATTGTTAAATAACTGGTCATATTTTAAAAATACATTTTTGAGCTTTGCTGGCTTATCAAGTCAAGGTCCACTTCTTCATAACATAATCACTTTTCATGTAATGAGATATACAGTATACAGTTTATATTTCTAGAATTTTCACTGTATCTACAGAGTGCAATAAAATATAAATAATGACTGATATATCATTATTTCAGTAAAAGCAAAGCAAGTGATAGCCTTGTTTTATATACATATAAGGTTAATTATTAGCAGCAATTTTGTATGACTAGCTGAGATACTAAGACATGCTTATAAAGATAAGATCCTTACCCTGCTCTAAACCTTGGACCATCCATCATCAAGTTGTTGCAGCTTACCTGTGACCTTTACATAACAGATAGCCTGGTGCCTTAACGTGAACCTTATATAACTGCCCGTCTGAGATCAAAGTTGAAGATTAGTGTAACTTTGGCAATGTATGCATGCTGGCTTCTATACGTTTCTGTAAATTTATGTTCTTTACAAAACTACCACATTTAGTATTAAGTTAAATTAGCCAATGGTAAGGCATCAGAAATCAAGCACCTGCAGATTGTGCTCTTGTATTGTCACCCCGTTACATGCTACCTTGGTGTAGACTACAATTGGCACATTATGCAGGCATGGTCCACCAATGCCACTGTCTAGAAGCTAATCCAAAGCAATGATGTACAGCTGACACTTGAGAAAGTGCATGTAGACAGGATGTGGCTACAATTGGCTGGAGAAGATCAGTAGCAATGAGATACAAAGAAGGATGAAA